TGCTTTGAGGACTGTTCTAAATTACTAGGAGACTTCTATGTGTAGGTATGTGCTCGACCTGAGGTACATCTCTCTGCATGGTGGATTCAGTCTAGTGTTAGACCCGGTGCTTGCTGGGTATGTGTATGTGGTGGGGAAAGCATGGCCTTGAAAGTGAAGGCCTGGATACTTCCCCAGCAACAGAGAAAATTAGTCTGTACTGTCTAGTATCCCTTTACATAGGATTGGGACCTGATTTCCTCCTTAATTTCTACAATGTGTATAGAGAACTGAAAACAAGACAATGTTCCTAACTACGTGAGTTGGATCATGTAAGTGGAAGAGTTTTTAACAAAAGTGATGCTTCTTCTTCCTGATTGGGTGCTGTTAGGATGGGAACCAGCTCTAGTGTTCTGCAGCCTAGCTTCCCTGTACTCGTGTATGTGGCTTATAGGTAGACAAACCTGCAGACTTGTCTCCCAGGGCTCTACTTGTAGGTTTGGGAACATGAACTACTGGAGGAAAATACTTGATGCAGAAGGGAATGATCGAGGACTTCTGTCATGCTCAGTTGTGCATAGATTATAAATGGTGTCTGGGTAGTAAGTCAGCATGATGCTTGGCAAAGGTTAATGAGCCATCCTTGAGACACAAGTTTTTGCAGCTGAGCTGATTTGGGAAGTCTAGATGGGATGATACTCTGTGTGGACTCACAAGTTCACGTATCTCTGATCTGTGCTATCTTAAATCTGGAAAGGAGAGAACTAGTCTGATAGAATGCTAAAAAACCCTACCAGTTCCTGTACCCTGTAAGTTAACCAGTATTTAACTTGATTGTTTTAAATTTCAACATTTTATCATCATTTGTCTACCTGAAAGAAAAAAAAAAACACAATGCTTTGGCACAAAAACCTCCTCCATTCTAATCTATAAATTGAACTTCTCATTTGTCTGTCTTCTTGCCTTGGGGGCCCGTGTGCTAGTGACACGTCACATCCAAATCACATCCAAATTTTGACTGTAAACTCCTCCTGCAATATGGGAGACCCATCTGGAGTTTGCAGAATTGGGATCATAGGCTAGAGGGTTGTCTGAGGAAGAGGGATAGACTGGAGAGCAGATGAGAAAATATTTACTCTGGAATGAAGACCTTAACATATGGAACTGGGATACTGAAGTCTAGCATGGTTTAGAAATGGCCATACTACAACAGTCTTAGCCTTCAGTTTAAATGAGTCCTTCATATGCTTTCTAACTGTGTGCTTTTTTGAAAGTATTCTTACTAGGCAATATAAGATTCAAAGTGAGGCCCCATGGAAAGGCATCTTAAACTAGTCTTCTTGCAATTAGTTGAGTCAGTCTTAAATTGGACTTCCTCTTAGTGTGGCAGCTACCATGGAAAAAGTCTCCTTTGTATGGTTGTACAGCTTGATCTTAAGGTATGGCCTGTAGACTGAAACAGAAATTGCCTTAGGTTCGTGGGTGAAATAGGCAGGAAATAACATCTCTAGATCCAGCTGCAAATAAATATTTGAATCAGCTTACTTAAAACAGGCAGCAGAAAGAAATAATGATTAGGTGAGGGTGTGATGTTGTAGCTCTTCAATTTTAACATGCTCTGAAACACGGATTCATCATTAAAGTGTAAGCAGAGAATCTGCATTCTCTTGTTTTCCAGTGCTGAGCTTTGGACTGGATCCTTCACTGTTTGATATTTCACAATTGCTTTCTCCAGCTCAAAGCTTGCCATGTGTAATGGGATGTCCTTCTTGCAAGGGTGTCTGACACACACTTTTGTAAAGAGGTGAATATACAAATGTGGGATAGAAAGCAGTGGCAAGCTAAGTCCTTTCGTAATGCTTTTTGTGGTCTTCAACCACTTTTGCAGTCAAGGTGTATTTATAATATTCTGAGATTAAGTGATACATAGTCACCAGAAAAGTCTTTATACCACTCGTAAAGAAGGTTCCAAATACGAATAGAAATGTCTTTAAATGCCATCACTGTAAAAATGAACATTCATAAATGCAGACTGCTGTTTGGTATAGCATTAGAGCTCATCACTGTCATCTGCCAAAACAGATGAGGTGGGTTGTACAACAGGTACCGTTACAGCCTTTGTAGTTGTGTCTTAAAGCTCCGAGTTGCCTGTGTGGAAGTTAAGTACTTAGTCACTCTTCTCAAAAAATGAGGGCATGTGGCCTCAGTCATGTCACTGCCAGACGGAAACTTCAGAATATTATCCTTACTGTCAGCACAAAGAACTGGCTCTTTTCACCCAATCTGCTGTACACAAAGCAAAGAATTTCTGGTTGGTGATTGTGCGTTTTGTGCAAAATTCCTTGAGCTAAATGACTCCTATTTTGGAGGCTTTCATTCTGGAAAACACAGTTCTGCCTTTAGCTTGTATGGGGAAGAGTCTGCAGCAGATATAGCAGGTTAACGCAACTGAAATTTGTAATCTGAATGTAGACCGATGCTTGAAAGAATTGGTCGTGCTCCTCTCCCGGTATCTACACAGCATCAGTTTCAGGGAACTGATTCTGATGAAAGCAACTTCAGAAGGCAAGTCTGTCCATTCTGGCAGATGACTCCATTTAGGTTTGCTTGTAGCAGCTGGGAAGCTTGCTGCTTATTTTAGGGGAAACTGAAGAAATCACTCTTTTCCTTTCTGCTGAACAGTTACAGCAAGTGCAAAACTTCTGCAGAATCTAAATCTCTACTGGTAGTTAGCTGTTTCCTGGCAGTGTTAAGCATTTACAACCCGTTTCTGCTTCTAGCCTTGAAGGAATTAAAATGCTTTACTCAATTGCTATTTAATGCTTTGCCATCCTGTGACTTTCTCTGCCAACGAACACTTCAGCGACTGTCCCAGCACTTACAAGTGTTACACGTCAGTGAGAAGCAGCAAGTGGTCACAGCTTTCAAGCTATCACTTCTTCTGTAGGCTGCTGTAGATATTTCTGATACAAAGCTCCCCTGGAGGCAGTGCTGTATTTCAATGCCCGTTTTTTTTTTTTTTTTAATAAAAGGGATTGCTCTTGACTGAACAACTTCAGAATCATTTCAGGAATTCATGCTTTGGAAGTGTTGGATGTTCACCTTCTGAAAATCAGGTGTCTGTTAAATCTGAGAGGTCCTCAACACATGCACAAAAAGCATCTAAGAATGCAGATCCTACCGTTCCAGGAAATTGTACCCTGACTGCAAGTTGCAGGGAAAGCCTGCATATGAGATTGCAGAAGATGGGTTAAATGTTCTCTAAACACAATTTTCAACACTGCTGTTAGTCACCCCTGCATTAATGCAACATCCATGACCTGACTAAACTTTTCATAGAACTTTATAGCACTAGACTGTTTCTTTTTGTTAATCCCATTGTCGTTGTGACTATATTTTCCCTACAGGATACATGTCTAAATCAACTTCCATTTCTCACCAACTTTGTATAGAACAAGGTATAACAGTGAAAGCTTTCACTTTACTTGAAATTATTTTCTTTGCAGAATGTGTGCATGTGCTTTCCATCTCAGTGCTCATGAACTATGTAGGGAGGAGGGCTTAGCAAAATACCTTACTGTATCTTTTTTCCTTAAAATTACCTGACACTGTGGTAGTAACTTGCTCAGTGTTTTTGTTCAGTTTTCTTTTGTGACAGAGCTCATATATAAGAGGAACTTAGATTAGTTTCGAAGCAACTTCTTAATGTATAAAAAGTTCTTCAAATATTGGGGAGTGAAGGAGGAGGACATATGCTTATCTGTCATATCTACCCTGGCCTGATTTATGAAGATAAGTCAGCAACAGAAAAATGGTAGGAGGAACCTGGGGTTACATATCTTGCAGCTAAAGCTGTAAGCAGCAGTGTCCATTCAGGCTTTGCTCCCATTAAGTTAGGCACATACTTTCTTACCCTTTAATTAGTCAATCAGAAATTAAAATGTTGATAAACATGTGATTTTGTGTTTTGATGGCTTATTTGATGTGCAAACTTGACTATATTTTCTTTGGTCTTTTGGTGTAAGCCGTACATAAATCAGTACTGCTAGAGATGTAAGAGTTCAGTTTCATAGGAATTGAACTGTTTAAATTGCTTAGGAACCAAAACTTGAAAAAAAGTTTTAAATTCTACTTAAAAGTCTCAAACATGCCAAAACATGTGTTCTTTGAACACTGTAGCTGCTTTCTAAATAGATTTTTTGAAAGCTTCAAGAAAATCCAACCCACTCTTTTCAGGATTGTCTCACTGTTACACTAGGCTTGACAAATTTGTCTGAATCTTAGTCCCTGTATCTTTAACTGTAGCTTGTCTGCTTCTGTCACCTCTGTGGTTGGGCACATTCCTTTAGTGCTTCAGAAGTGGTGTTGCAGTTTAGGTCTGTGTGGCATATGAAGTCTTCCAGGAGGATGGGGCATCTCTGCAGTATGCTTTCTAACCAGGGCATCTCACTCCACCATCAAACAAACTGATCTGGACTAGCTTATGTGACAGGACTATCCTGATTTTAGACCAAAAGCCTTGTCCTAGGGCTTCAAGTTTTCTGTAGTAACAGAACCTGGTAGTAGCCTTAGAATTGAAAAGTCTGAAAGCTTTAGAAACAATGTGTGTTACATCTAGTTCTACAAAAGCAACCACTGAGTCCTATTGTGAAGTTAGGCTAGGCTCTAGATACAGCTTGACCTGAATAAACCACTTTCTGATACCTCCTTCAGGGTTTCAGCAGATCGCTTTTTGAGGGTAAGAGGTTAGGAGGAGCTGAATTGTGCTTGTTGAGTCAATTAGATTAGCTCCAGAGCTGTTGCACTGTCAAAGGCCTGTCTAGTGAGGATAAGAGGGCAGGACTGGGGGAAGAGTGAGTGTAAGGGTGTCCCCAGCTGGCAGCTGTAAGCTTTTGCCTGAGCTCAACCATCACATGCAACTGCACCCTTAAATTAAGTGGCTTTCTGCCACAGCCAAGGACGAGACATGGGCACAGAGATCAGCAGCTCTTCAGATGACTTCTGTTTGAAACTAGGTAGTGTTTGAGGTGTTCTTTCTTCTAGATCTTCTGAACGTTCTTTATCCAAGAGTTTTTGATATCAAAGGGACAGTTGCTACGTGCTGATAGTAAAAAATGGTTCTATTTAAAATAGCAGTTCCTGGAAAATCCTGCATTATCTGGGAAAGCTACTTGTGATCTAAACTTATCTTCTGTCCTAGGCAGAAGGGGCAAAAAATAACTATGTTATTATTTTTGTCTTTTTCCTAAAATACATGTTATGCAGGGATGTGGTATATAGAATCTATTACAGATAGCCAAGACTGTGTGTTGTATCACATGACAAAATTTATAGCTGGGAGTTGGTGTTCTCTCTGGGCAGTCTTAGTTGGTCTCTCTTGGGCTTAGGTTTTTATCAGGGTAGTGGTAGTTAGAAAAAAAAATCTGCGTTGGAATGTCTTTTGTGTGAATGTTGTCTCTTTGTGGCTCTTCCTGTGAGGGTCTGTCTCTGGTGTTTCATGTCAGAGGTGTCTATGTGTTTCTTTAGACAACTCTTGTCTGTTTCTCATCAGCAGAATTTCCAAAACTGTTCTAGCCTGAAATTAACTTTATACTGACTTTTTTAAAATATTGACTTCTGTGGACATTTAAAGTAGCTCCCTAAGGATCTGCTTTTTCATAGTGGTCACTACAGACTATCAAGTTTGCATAACAAACTATGCTAGTTCCACTTTCATCCCAGAATGTATACTGAATGCAAAATACAGAATTGTAAACAGTTGCTACATTCAAATGAGCCATACTTGTTGTAATACTGAAAAGTTAAATAACAAATCCCGTTAGGAAAGGTAGGATTGCTGTAGGGTGAACAAAGCTCACAGTACTTGCAACAGGGGGAAGACCACATGCAGTTGTGAATCTTAAATCTACCGGAAAGGAAGGCAGCTACTGGAACGGTGTATGGGTGCTTGGTTCTCTCCCAGTCTCTCCAGTCTGAGTGGATCTAAAAGCTTCCAAGCCACAAGTAAGAAAATGCACACCAAGAGGCAAAATACCTTAATTATGGTCAAAAATTACTGTTAAGCATGGTTTTATCTCTGTTCCACAATGTTTCCTCTTGCTAGGGAGAACATATTGGTGTGTTGTTTTTTTCTTTTCACAGAATTATGAGAATCAGTTGGCAGTGAATAGCTTCTGTGGTGACTCAACCTGTTCTCCTGTTAAGGGGAGTATGATTAAGCCCAAAGGATGGGTGTTGCAAATGGACTATAAAAAGTTCTGACTGTGGCAGAGACTCTACTTTTGCATTGACACCTTCAATGTGAATCTCCAGGCTTTTCTGTAGGTAGATGGGGGGAAGGTGGTGTGTAGGTATACACCTCCTTAAATTTCATCAGTACTGCTCATCTATAATCATATTTTAAAGTTTTACTTGAGAGGTATGTTTATGAGGAGGATTCTCAACACCTTCTATTCCCCTGAACTAGATCAAGAAAATGAGAGACCAGCATGTTCCAGCCTTTAGTCAGTTGAAACTATGGCTTGTTTTTTCTTCAAGGAAAAGCTTAAGTTTTCTTTCTAGCATCCCAGACTCCCAGAAGGTAAGTGTTAGGGAGCAGAAGATTTAGTCTATGTGCATCTTGTCCCCTTCATCTGCTCCATAATTAAAGCTGATTCCAATGTTGACTTCTGTGAGTTCTGGTGGGTTTGGGTGGTTGTTTTTTTTTTTTTTCCTGGGGGTTTTTGTTCCTTCCTGGTAGCAGGAATTGTCATGTAGGTTAGTTTCACTGCTAGTCTTCAGTATTTGTGGTGCTGACTGTTGTCTCCTTTTATCAGATGACATGGGCAGTTGCAGACTGTTGCCAAAACATGTTATCCAAGTGTAATGACTAGGATTCCTGTGTTTACCAAGGTAAACTTTGCTTCAACTAGTTAAATAGATTGCCTTGTGCTCCCTTTACTTTCAGAAAAGTCATTCAGCTGCTTTTAAGCTATCAAGATGGCAGTGGGCAAGCAGACCACCTGGGCTGACCTCCACATTCACCCCACCACCACCACCACCCACCTGCTTTTTTTTTTTTTCTTCTGACTTTTTAAACTTAACTGGGGGAGGTGCTGCTGCAGCATTTGACCAGCTAATGCAACTTCATGCAAAGTACAGATATTTTGGAGAAAAGTGCAAATAAGTATCTAGGCCAGAGGGGAAAATTAGAACCTATCTTCATTCTCTGGTATCTTCAGACCCGCTCCTCCAAAAGGAGCTATCAAATGTCTGAATTTCTGTAACACTCCAGCTTGTCTGCATCTCTGTGCTTCATCTGAAACAAGAGTAAGCTTTGCAATAGTGTTCTGTTGTAAAGTTGCTGAGTTTATAACTCTGAGGTGCATTGTTTAACTTCATGTTTCCAAAATAAAAAGGCTTTAAACTGATACTATAAAAAGTGCTGACTGACTTTTATTCACCAAACTGCCCATACAGCTTTTCTGTTATGTACTACAATATGCAAGCCTCAACTGCACCAATGCACAGTTTCCAGTTTGAGCTGCCAGTCCCCTTCCTGTGGTAGATAACTACACCACAAAATAGCTCCAAGTTTTCTTATCTCTGTATAGTCTGTTGAGTTCTCATCATGCTGTCTAGTTGCAGGACAACAAAAGGGTAAAAAAAAAAAATCTTAAAACATTTGTGTTGCACGTAACTTCTGATGTAATAATGATAGCTTGTGTTCTCTTTCTTCAGGGGTTGTGTTTCTGTGAGAAGTGTTTAGCTTGTGGAGTGCCATTCCCTAAAGTGCCAGTCCTATATTTCTTGCTTGACAGAGAGCTCACTCTAGTCTCAGGTTTTTATGGGATGAACAAGTAGCTGCTACTTCAGGCTGTTCATGTTTATTATAGGAGAGACAACTCTGGCTACAAGAACTGAATTTTACAAACTGCAGGGTGAGAAGGCTGGACTTGGGTGGCGTTTTGTGCTTTGGATTTTTTTTCTCTAAAACCCTAATTGGTAGCAGAAATGGTAGCCCTGCAGTGGTAGCTGTCTGGTCTTAATAGGTGTATCTGTGAGAGGGGTGCTTCACAGAAGAGTCTGTGGTCCTGTCTGGTGTAGCTTGCTGCATAACCTGCCTCTTAGCTGTAGCTCAGGTTTCAAACGCTCTATCTGCACCATCATCTAAAAAGCAGAGGTCCTCAGCTGATACATGGAATATTTGGTAATGGGTGCCACTGGAGCACGGTTCTACCAGTGGCACTTTTCAGCCAACCTCAGGCTGCCTGTGGAAGTCAAATGGCTGCTTCCCTTCAATATTACCTGCCAGGGGGGTCGGTGCAGGAGAGCAGTGCTGACCTGGGACTCTGTGGCCCGGGGCGGGGAAGGTGCTGGATGATGAAGCCATTGCAGGCCTACCAGGGCTGGGCCAGGGGATGACATGGAGGTGGCAACTTCCCTCAGGGTGGAGGCAGAGGTTCCCTGCGTCGTCTGTACCCCTGTGGCCCTCAGCCAGGCTGGAGCAGGGGCTGCCTTGGTGGGCTCCAGGCACTTCTGGCAGAGAGCCTGGTCGAGGGAAGGTGGGCAGCACAGGGGACCTGCTGTGGCTGTGAGGGAGGTGAGGCCTGCCATGAAGGGGGCTCTGGCCGTTGTGGTGGCCTGGTGCTCCCACATCCTCTGCGTGGGTTTTGCTCTTTAGGCTGCCCAAAGACAACTTGTAAACTTGGTCATTTGTAGGGTGTGGCTCCCCTCCTATCTTAAAGAATTTAAACAAAATGTTGTCATCCATTGGTTAATGGCACTGGGTTTTCCTGTAAGAATTTGTGTCAGAATGGAAGCCTCTGAGTCTGGTTCCCCTGCCCCTTCGCTTGCCCCTCTCAGGCTTGCTCAGGGCTGCCAACAACCTCTAACTTGCTGCCGGTTTTATTTCTTTTTTTTGGTGGTGTGGGGGGGGTGGTGGTGGTGTACGTAGGTGGCCATGGGGAGTGTCTGAGTAATCAATTAATTTCCATGACATAAGTTAAAACCATATGCATTAGTAACAGCTCACTAAAACTTTTCTCCTCTCCCCCCTTACAATTTGTAGGTATTCACCTTAATGAACAAGAGAGACGCGTGAGACCAGATGATTTAGAACTGTAGTGTTCACTTCAAGATGTCCCAGAAGGAAAATACTCATCTGCAAGTCTCATCTTTCAAAACTGTCTGCATTCTTTCAATCAAAGAAAAACATTTTTTGAGAAAGATGACTTGTGAAATCTGTGAACAAAGCTGAATGAAAGACAACATGCCTTACAATGGACACTTGTCTTGAAGGGGTGATGCTGTGCTCTTAAACTAAAACACAGGCACTGTAAAAACACTGATCCTGAGCAAGAATAAGGATTATAGAAACTGTATCAGAATGTTTGTTAGTCCCAGAAGAGTCAGAAAATGCCATTTTTTGCAGATATTTGCTACTTGCTTCATACTGTGTCTCATGATTTTTTGGGGACCATTTGATAATCACATTGTGAGCCATATGAAGTCCTATTCATACAGATACCTCATAAATAGCTACCATTTTGTGAATGACAGCCTGTCTATCAACAGGGATAACTTGGACAGAGTATCAAGCTACCAGTACTTGATCAACCACAGAGAGAAATGTCAGCAGCAGGATGTCCTTCTCCTGTTGTTTGTGAAGACTTCTCCTGAAAACCGTCATCGGAGGGATGCAATTAGACAAACTTGGGGTAATGAGAAGTACGTTCGTTCTCAACTTAATGCCAACATTAAAACTCTCTTTGCTTTAGGACGACCAACAGATCATCTGCAGCAAACACAGCTGCAAAGAGAACTTCAGGTGGAAGACCAGAAACACAGTGATTTGATTCAGCAAGACTTCTTGGATACTTTTCACAATCTTACTCTTAAATTGCTTTTGCAGTTTAGCTGGGTCAATGCCTACTGTCCTCATGCCAGGTTCATTATGTCTGCAGATGATGACATATTTATCCATATGCCAAATCTTGTTGCTTATCTGCAAAGTCTAGCACAAATGGGCATTCAAGATCTCTGGATTGGTCGTGTCCATCGTGGATCCCCTCCCATAAGAGACAAGAGTAGCAAATACTATGTTCCATATGAAATGTACCAGTGGCCCTCTTACCCTGACTACACAGCAGGAGCTGCATATGTAATATCAAATGATGTAGCAGCTAAAGTATATGAGGCTTCATTGACTCTCAATACAAGTCTTTATATAGATGATGTTTTCATGGGTCTCTGTGCCAATAAAATGGGAATTGTACCACAATATCATGTATTCTTTTCTGGGGAAGGAAAGGCTCCGTATCATCCATGCATTTATAACAAAATGATGACATCTCATGGACACGTAGATGATCTTCACCAGCTCTGGAAGCAGGCTACAGATCCCAAAGTTAAAAAGCTTTCTTCAGGGATTTGGGGTAGAATATACTGCAGACTAGTCAATATTGTGCTTCTCTGTAAACTATATTATGAGGACACATATCCTTGTTCAGCTGCATTTTCTTAATACTTGAATATCTGTGTTGAAGATCCACTGAGCCAAAACAGAGCAACACCTTTTTAGCTGTTTATTCAAAATATATGTAAACATGGAAAGAGGTAAAACTTAAATGTGAATAGTTGGGTGGGAGGGGGGTTGGGTCATGGGAAAATGGTCCCAAATTCTGTTCATAAACTTATTGGAATAGCTCTCCTATTGTACTGCAACTTTACATTGTAGCCTGGTTTTTTTACACTCTTCAAGGGATACAAGTCTGGATTAAACAAACTATAGTGGACTTCGACTTCTAGACTTTGAAATGCTTGGTGAAAATGTCTGTTATTTTGAACCTGTCAGTAAGTTTTAAGTTTGTTTGTTTTTTTTTTTTTTTTAAAAGCCAAGTGAACTAAGGCACATGATTAAAAAAAAAAAAAAAAGAATCTGCTATCTCAAAATGGAGTAGACCTTTCAAAGCACAAGGAAAATAGAACTTCTGACTTCATGAATGAGACTACTGCAGTAGTTTAAGGCAATGTAAATTGGTTACAAGTATTCACCGTTCCTCAGTGCTTCACTGAAAGTAAGTCTGGACCTGTACAATTGACAAACAGTGAGTGCTAGAAGTGAAGACCTGCTACAATCTTTTTTCAAAGCTCCCGAAATCTTTAAAATAGGGAAACAGTGGTTGAGTGCCTTCTAACTTGATTAAGTAACAAAGGAGGTCTGTTTAGATCAGGACTGAACTTGAAAGGATAAAAATCAAATATTACTCGTAAGTGGTTTTGCTAATCTTTCTCTGCCTTCTGAAAACTGAAGCAGTATATTTAACAAGTCCAATCTTTAATAAGAAAATAAGCTGAATGAGTTTTCTTTTAACAATGCTTCTGCTTTCTAATATTCATGGTTCTAAAGGCAAAAAGCAAGCAAAAGTCCCTGAGAAAGTTACTTATAACTAATTTGAAGAAGTTAAAGACTTTAAAAAGCCAAATTACATGCTTCTACTAACAGAGGGAGGGTATTTTCTGCACAGTTTGACTTCACAGTGAAGGGAGAGGGAGATGTTGATCCACAGAAACTCAGTATATAAATCAATACCACTAAAATATTTCTCCTGAAGTCTTAAGCACAAGATTGTCTTTACAATTTCAAGGCAGTTTGTGTCCACAAAATCCTGTATCTTTAATATATTTCAATGTTAATATCACCTGCAGGATGAACAAAACACCCATGCATTGTAAATCAGGATAAAAGTGATATTCAGACTCCAGCCATTATGAGTTGTACTGTGGTGCCATATAAATATCATAGAGAACCAGAGTTCTAGGATGTCTGCAGTCTTTTCTTGTATACCTCACTAACGGTGTTTTTACAGACTCTCAGGACAGATATTTTAGTTGCTAATTGCCAAACCTGTGGTAGCTCTTCCTGGAGTGGACACAGCCCACACAAGGTATGGTCAGATACAGCTTGTGAACTGGTGTGATGCTGGAACAAGTTCTACTGTGGATAGTGCCAGAAAACTACTTCTGAAAGCTTGAATGAGTCAAGTTTATCAGCAAAGCAATAACAATGCAAATGCTCACAAATTATCAAGCATCTGTTGGAAATGTGCTAATTACAGGAGCAACACTACTTGCTTTCTGTCTCAGATTAGCCTTTTTTTCTGCATGGTTTCTCACTGTGTGGAGCAGTGAGGTACCTGCTCTGCATCTTCTGACTTTACTGTAGAACAGCTATACAGGACTTGGCAGTTTTAAGCTGCAAGTAATAAACTTTGTTTAAATAATAGCTACTGCTCTTGGAGCTGTGCTGCAGGTTTTAATTGTTTCAATGACTAATGGTATATGCTAGCATAGACAGAATCCAGGAGTGAGCTTTCTGACTCTTCTCTGAGCTGCCATTTCAGATAAATGGTAGGTAGCTACTGGAATTAAGTGAAATACATAACTTTCTATAATTGGTTTTCCAGAAGGAAATTAATAGGAATCCAACCTGGACCTAAATGTTGAATATATAAAGAGCCCAGAAACAAATAATTTATCAATGTCAAAATGATTAAAGTACAGTTGTTACATTCTTCACAAAGAACAAATCCAGTTCCTGTTATTGCCTAAACAGATTGATTACAGTACTGAGGATGTGTCTTTTTAAAAAAAAAAAAATATGCAAGACAACCTTAGATCTGTATAATTTGTTAGCTTACAGAGAAATAAATGCACATATAGAAAAAGTAGTATTCTGTACTGAAGGAAAGCTGCTTTATCAGATCTCTGACCTGTTGTGAGCCATTTAAATCAACAAGCTGCACAGCAAAACTGCACTACTAGAAAACTACTAGAAAAAGCCACTGTGTGTACTATAGGGAAAGAGGGTCTTCATATGCAATATGCAACCAAAATGTAGTACTCTGCCTACAGTTTTTACCAGCATAAGCATGTCAGGATTTATTGTTTTCACTCATACAAGCCAAAGTAAAGTAAGTTTTTAAGTAACTTAAACTTCTATAGGGTAATGACTTAGCTAACATCTAAAACACTGCTTAAATATAGTTTGCCATTATCTGAAAGTCACTTTTGACCACTGAAATACTTTGTTTTACAGCTGGTTTGAGTTTTGTTTGGATTGTTTCTTAATCTTAAAAGGGTCTTGATGTTTGTAGTATGCATTTTCTTTTGCTGCAGTGAAAAGAAGTTGCTTGTTGAATAAAAAGGAAAGCATGAAGGCACTCCTGTCAAAAAGTGGAGATGCTAGAAAACTTATTTTCTTGTTCTAAACACTGACTTAAGATTTGTACACCGTTATCTGGAACCTTTTTTAACAATAGACTTGGTGCTCCAATGCAGGGCTGTCAGGTTTTACTTCTACAAATAAAACTGTTATCAGCCTGAATGGTCACTCCTCATTAAGAGTTTGACATTGTTGCACAGCATATTTAATGCTAAAATTGTTTTTACCTGTTTGTTTGGTTTGCATCAATTTCCCTTTGATATTACTAATTTTTATACAAAGTATTCAATATTTATTCTTAAACTTTGCTCTGTACCACAAAAAGACAATTGTTTTGTAAAATTTGTTTTGAATAAACAGACTTATTTCTTTAAAAAAAAAAAAAAAAAAACAACAAACCCAAAAAAACACAAAACACAACAAAGGTAAATATCTTGTGTTGCTTTCTTTGTAACTGACAGGCTCAGCACTGATGCTTTTAAATGCTATTCTGAGTTTCCTCTTGAGAGGGACTTCAAACTGTTTCCCACTCTCATCCCTTCTGTTTTACCCTGAACCAAACCTTTTGTGGAACAGAAGACAAAATTGGTGTTCCCAAGAAAGGAGACAGCTCAAAATATTTTTTTGCCAAGCTTTTAGGTGTAAAGTTGTATAAAACTGCCAAATATTAGAAGCTTAACCTCTTGTTAATATTAACTCCAAATCTCTATGTTCTCTTCTAGGCAATCATTCCTCAGAGGTGTGTATCTCTAAAGTTCTATTTCAGATCACACTTTGCAACTTTTGAAAGCTAGCTGATGGTTTGGAGAACAGTCATAGTATTTTCATAGGGTATAATTAAATTCAGATAGTTAAAAATTGCATTTTTGTATGTGTCTCCAATTTGTCTAGCATAATGAATCAAGCTGGTGTTTTCAGAAATGTACTCTTTTGCCTCTAGTAACACTCAATGTCTACCTGTGTGAGAGAGATAATTTATACTTATGTTATACCTTTAAATCATACTGAAGAAGATAAAAAAGGAAATAAAGTCAGCGAAGATTGTGGGGTTTGGCTTGTTACAGGGTGGGTTTTGTGGGTTGGTTTGTTTGTTTGTTTGTTTTTAATTGCTCCCTCTGGTCTAGATACAGTGCAGTTCAACTAAATTAAGCTGGGTTTGCCTGGTACTTTTTGTTAAACTAAATGACTTAAGTATTTGCTGGTTTAGAGTAACTCATTAATAATCTCTTTCTCAAGACATTACAGAAAGGGAGAAAAGATTAGTGCTTGCATTTTAAAAAACTAGAAACTTCTCAGGGACATATAGTAGTCAGATATGAATATCCTGAGCACAATGAGATGATCTTTAATACTGCTTTTTTTGTAAATACATGCAAGGCCTAGTCTAACGACTTTCTTATGTCCTGTAATCAGTGCTTCTAAGGAGAAAAAAATCCTACCCTGCAAACCCCCTAACCCAAAACACAAGATAAATCTTGCTTGCTTTTCCATCAGATAGACTGTTTGTAAATGCATGGCTATGAGCATTTCAGTGACTTGATTATATCTATTTATTAATCTTAGTGAACTTCAAAGAAGTTGTAGAGAATGTACTGTAAATGCAGTTATTTGCATTCTCAAAAATTATACTGGCTCACGTGTGCAGGCTTACCTCCTCCTTGTTGACAAGTTCTCATCACTTTCACTCATCACCAGGACTCTACTAGATCCTCCTTGACTAGCTTCATGCATCACTTCAATCTGAATAAAAAGGACATGTTCAAAGTTAAAATGCTGAATTGCGATGCTTTTGCTGAGAGAACTTTAACTCTTTAAAATAATAAAAACCAGATTCTACCTAGTCTAGTAAGTCACTGGGCAAGTTAAAATAATTGAATTCTAGATGTACAGGCTGTAAATCAAGAATACCTCCTCCCTCTATTTGCCCACTTCCTTGCTCAGTATTGGCATGGGAGGCATTCTTGACTCCAGGCAAAGTCGTCTTGATCTTTTACCATAGAAGATGAATTATCTCCTTATGTAGATAATTACAGGCATAACAGTCCGTTCCTTAGACTCTGAAATACTTTTTTTGGTTGTTGTTTCCTGCCTGAAGCCAACTCAGAGACTTCACATTTTCAGAGTTCTTTGTACAGTGCCATACGGAGAAGTCTAGAGAATCCATCTTGTGCCTCTGAGAAGCATCTTTGTACTGGTAGCAGTATCATGTAAGATAGCACATACCCTCAAATACTGAGCACAGTATACATGTGCAATGGCTGTCCCCGGGTTGAAATGAACTGGGGCTTTTTATAATATTTTGATAAACATTAACCTACTTCCTTGTCCAGTCTTGCAGAGTTGGATGGTTTCAGGTGAGTTCCAGGCAAGTTTTAAGCAGGCTTTTACTCCTTTTTGCTTGCAGCCTTAAAAGCAGCAAGCACTACTTGGGCTTACTCAAATGCTACCTTCAAATTCAGCAGAACAGCTCTGCTGCTGTGTTTGCTGTTAATCCAAGTCAATCTAAACTCCAGTAGAGTCTTTCAGTTCCTGAGCACTTTAATTTTTAAAGGCTGATTCTGGGGAAAAAAAAAAGCAGTGGCCTGTCTTATATTCTATATAGCTAAATTATTTAGCTGATTGGTGATGATGGTGGAATCCATTAATAA